TATATATATATATATATATATATATATATATAACGGCAAATGGTGTATACATAACACCAATAGTTAATAGAGAAGAAAAGACCCGTGGGTATACGGCTAGATACAGCCCCGTTAACAACTACTAAACTCTAAACCCTAAAGGGACAAAACATGCATGCATGCATGCATGCACGTGTGGATGCATGCGCATGCAAATTAAATGGATATACCTTCAATAAATTTGTATATTAAGCATGGGTAGGTTAGTATACAAACATGCCCATACACCCTGCTGCTATTAGATTAAGTTATTGGGGTTTAGGGTTTCTTATGGTTTCCTAGGGTTTCCTAGGGTTTATTAGGGTTTACTAGGGCTTACTAGGGTTTATTAGGGTTTATTAGGGTTTAATATAGTGCAAGTGTAGGTGTAATAATAGAAGAAAGATCAATTCTTGGTGCTTTTTTATGCAAAAGTTCAATATTATATCTTTGTCTAGTTATTTTTGTCTTGAGGTGTACGTACACCCGATTAAAGTTCAATACTACCCATCCGCTATTTCCTATACCATCTCTTCCTTTGTATATTTCTTCGCCAAATTCTTCTATCATTTCCTATAAAAAAAAGAAAAAAACAAGATATTTATTTATTTATTTATTTATTTATTTCCTTATTTATTTATTTATATATTTACAAGAAGATAGAGCAAGAGGGACACATGTAATCACAAATAATGACTAAAGACAAACAAAACAAACAGCAGCAACAGAAACAGAAACAGCAACAGCAACAGCAACAGCAGCAGCAGCAGCAGCAGCAGCAGCAAATACAAACCTGAATAAGAGTGTTAGCTACAGCATCTATATGTGTGGGGCCAAGACAAGTAGCTAAGAGGAAGGCCTCCCATTCAGAGACAAGAAGATCTTCCTTCATCCTTTGTTTCTTATTGGGGATCGTCTTTGGGATCGTCTTTGGGATCGTCTTTGGGATCGGGTCTGGGATCGTGTCTGGGATCGTGTCTGGGATCGTGTCTGGGATCGTGTCTGGGATCGTATCCTCGATGGTTTCTGGGATCGTGTCTTCAGTGGCATCTCGTATAGCCTCTGGGATCGCCTCTGGGATCGTGTCTGGGATCGAGTTGAGGATCGCCTCCTCCTTATCAAGTAAATAGTCAGGATTATAACAAAAGCTCTGAGGTACAGGCCTATTATGAGGAGACAGTAGGGGTCCCCTCTTACGCTGCAGCAGCAGTCTCTCCCTTTCTCTCTCTTCTTCCTTTCTTCCCCATGCAGCACAACGTAAGAAACAAACTACATCCTCTACTTTATGTTTATCTGCTGCTTTTGCTGCAGCAATCAGTAAATCTGCATCTCCTGCTGGTAGATCAGATAGAGACCATACATCATATATTATTTTTTCTTCTTCTTCTTCTTTTCCTCCTTGTCCTCCTATTGCTCTTGCTGATGACGAGGATGGTGCTCTTGATGCTGCTGCTGCTGCTGCTGCTGCTCGTGCTGCTGACGTTCCTGCTACAGACGATACAGCAGAATGTGTAAGGAAAGCTGCAGGCACTCCATGGCTGCTGCGCCTCCCCCACTCAGGTGTATATACACCCGAGACAACCCCTCTTGAGCCCTTATGAAGAGAAACAGCAGCACTGCTACCAGGATTCAGGAGGAGGAACAGCAAGACAAAAAAGAAAAGACAGGGGCCCATCCTGCCTATCCTTGTTCCTGGGATCGGATCCCTGGGATCCGATCCCAGGGGCTGATGGATCCCCACTCAATGCAGTCCAAGTACCCTCCTCAAGAGGAAGACGAATGATGGGCGGGTAAGCTGCTTTAGGGGCCCCACTCGCATGCGGCGTGGCTGAATGAGCTGCCTATACACCGCAGAGTCTGCGGTGTACGCGCGGCAGCCGCAGCCGGGGGCCCCTGACGTGTGGGGTTTTCTCTGTCCTTTTGCTGATTTTATTCCTCCCCATCCGCAGGATGAAGAAAGAAACAAAAAGGATTTAATTATAAACACGGACAGAGTAGCAAGCAGCGGCTGTATAGACTGGCGTAATAATCCCTCTACAAATAATGCTATCTAGCGGCACCAGCAGGCAAACAGATGGAAGATAAAGGGGGGAAACAGATAAAAAATACTATAAAAAGAAATAAAGGAGTACTATTTTCTATTTATTCATCCTTTTACCTCTTCAAAGGGAACACAATCGAGACACAAACAGCTCAGCAGCACACAGAGCACAGGGCCCCCATGAGGGGCCCCCTGGGGGGCCCCTAGGGGCCCCTGTTGTTGGTAGTGAAAGGAGACTTATAAAAGGTAGCCATATGCATGCATGCGGCTTTCTTGTAAGCTTTTCCTCTGCATGCAGATGGCTGACAAGGATGTGGAGGCTTAGGGTTTAGGGTTTAGGGTTTAGGGTTTAGGGTTTGGAGGTCTGGGGTCACCTGTCGAGGTCACCTATAGTGTGTCTATTTTCTCCGGTTTTTCTTCCCCTTTTCTTTCTTTTTTTATTTTAATATTAGTACAGTACCATTATTATGAGTAAATTAGTTATAGAAGAGGAAGAAGAGCAGCAGCAACTACCTAATTACCCCGAGTTATCTGTATCCCCTTGTAACGCAGCAATGTGTACTAATGAGGCAGATGATTCCTCTCCTTTGTCTGAGGATCCTATAGAGGAAACAGTACTTATAGACCTTCTTCTTCTTCCTGGTCCTAGTAGGAGGCGTAAATATTTCCCTATAAGTACAACTTTATGGCAAATAAAAGAAGCAGTAGAGAAAGACCTCCGCATTCCTTCCCTAGTTGTTGCCTTATGCCCCCTACGTGATGGTTGGGGGGCCCCCGGGGTATCTGGGGGACCCCGTAGGGGCCCTTCAAGGGGCCCCTCTGGTCCTCTTCCATGGAGCACAACTGTAAAAGAATTAGGGTTTACGGGGGGCCCCTCCCCTACAACGGGGGCCCTTGGGGTTTATATTTATAGACCCTCTAATGCAAACCCTCAAGACCCTATACCTGATCTCCATCAATTAGGGTTTCCTAATTTCCTTAAAGATGCAACAGCAGGTGCAGCAGCAGCAGCAACAGCAGCAGCAGCAACAGCAGCAGCAGCAACAGCAGCAGCAGCAGCAGCAGCAGCAGCAAACCCTAATTAAACCCAAATTCTAATACTTATGTTTATTATTTATATGCACTCTATAAGGGTGTACATAAATACACCCAGCAATTAATTAATTAGCTAGCTAGCTAATTAATTAATTAATTAATTAATTAATTAGCTAGCTAGCTAGCTAGCTAGCTATTGGCTGTTTTGTATGATTGTGTGTGTGTATATATATGTGCAGGTATAGATTTTGTCTTACGTAATCGTTGCAGTGTATGTACACAAACATGTAAGGTGTCTTCTTGCTCAACACAATGCATGCGCGAGGATTCTTGCTGCAGCAGCAAGAAGGGTTTATTTCTTAGCAGCAAAGAAGATAAAGAGATGCAGCAAGGTGTATACGTAACTGCTGATGAATGGGAAGCAAAGCAGCAAAAAGCTGCTGTTGTGCTGCAGCGGCATGCACGTGCATGGGCAGCAAGGAAGGAGGCACAGCAGCGTAGACAGCAGCGTGACAATATGCTGCTGCAGCAGCAGCAGAAGCAGCAAAGAAAGCAATGGGAAGCAGCAGTACGTAAGAAAAGGCAGCAGCAAAGAGGGGGGGCCCCATCTACTGCAGCAGACTTTGCTGTCCTGCATGCAGAGGTAGCAGCATGGCGTTGTATACAAGAGAATAGGATAAAGGAATGGGCAGCAGCAGCATCTTCTTCTTCTTCGTCGCAGCAGCAGCAGCAGCAGCAGCAGCTACAGCTACATCTGCTGCAGCAGCAGTTGCTACCCGAGCAGATACTACCTTTGCTGCAGCAGCAAAGGCCATCAAACCTTACCACGGATCAGCAGCGACGGCAAGCCTTGCTGCTGCTGCTGCAGCAGGAGACACAGCTGCTGCAGCGTATAGAGGGACTTAAACAAAAAGCAGAGCAGCAAAGGAAGCAGCAGCAGCAGCAGCGGCTCCTTATTAAGATGAAGGAACCTCTTATATGGGTACAATCTAACGGAGACACAGCAACTGTACATACACCGCAAACAGACACTGCATGCAAATTGCATGCACTGTACCAGCAGCTTGCATGGGGCCCCCTTGATGTACCTAAACGTTTAGAGGTATTAGCAGCAGCAACAGCAGCAGTAAAAGAATGGGGCCCCCATGGTGGTAGTAATAATGATGATGGTGGGGCCCTTGCTGCAGAGGTACTTGAATTGCTGCAGCGGGAGGTGCTGCTGCTGCAGAGGGGGCGCAGCAGCAAGCTGCTGCTGTCTGGATTAAGACAAAGAATTAATTCTCTATTTAGTCTTCTTCTTCTTAATCCTTCTTTTAATCCACAAGCTAAAGTTGTCACTGCTGTTGCATATGCAGCATAAATCTATAATTGTGCATGCATGCATGCATATGGGGAGGGATGCATGCATGCATGCTTAGATGCATGCAAGCATGAGTGGATGGCTGCATGCACGCATGGCTGCATGCATGCATGCATATATGCATGCGTGGCTGCATGCATGCATGTGTACGTGCATGCATGCATGCATGTATGTATGCTCGTGGTGTATGTGTTGGCAGCAGGAAGCCCCAAACCCTCTTTTTAGTTATTGCTGTGTCTTTTCCCTCTTTTTTTATTATATAATAATTATTAACTTATATATAATTAATTATATATTTATATAATTAACTATATAATTATAATCAATGTGGGGCCCCTAGGGGGCCCCTAGTTTAGCAGGCTGATAGTAGACGGCAGCACTCTTTCCTTCTTTCTTTATTAACTTCTTTCTTTTCTCTCTTTATTACCACTAAAACTAAGGAAAGGGGGGACCCTGGGGGCCCCCAGTACCCTGCCTTCTTGCTCATAGAAGATCTGCAGAGGGAACAGAACAAGCAGTGGGGCCCCCATGCATTCAGGGGGCCCTCAGGGTATTTACAAGGCCTAATGCCACTATATAGATACACCGCAAACATTAAAAAAAAGATGAACAATGAGGCAAATGGGGCCCCTGTACCAATAAAAAGAGCTACGCAAAGAGGGCAAGACAGCTACAGGGGGGCCCCCCTTCATTTAAAGGACCCTTTTAGCTGTCTTGACGGCCTCTAAAGGGCTATTGAGGGGCCCTTGGGGGCCCGCCTAATCAGGAGGGGCCCCCCCTTCAGTTGGGGCCCCGTACGTGGGGCCACCATCGTTGACAGTAAAGGCACACTAAACAAAGGGGGCCCATTTAGGGGCTTCTTGTGCCATAAGACAGAGTATGAGGGGCCCCTTTGGGGGGCCCCTTGGGGGGCCCCCAGTAAGTCTTAAAGAAGGGGGCCCCCTATAAGAAAAGTTTGTTACTTGGGTATAGGGAGATGAATGATATTTTCTTCCCATTCCTCAAAGAGGGTAGCTGCATGCACCTGAATAAATAAATAAATAAATAAATAAATAAATAAATAAATAAATAAATAAACAAAAAATAACTATTTATTATTATATAGGATAAGACTTACAGGATTTTGTTCCTTTAATGCAGCAGCAAAACTGCTCTCATCTGGTGCTGCTGCTGTTGCTGCTTCTTCTGCTTCTGCTGCTGTTGCTGCTGTTGCTGCTGCTACTGCTGTTGCTGCTGTACGCCGCAGCAGCGCATGCAACTGCAACAGCAGCTGCCCCTTCCAGTGCTGAGCTCCGTGCCAACGAACTGCCTGCTGCCCGCACTTAGAACCTGTATATACACCGCAAATATGCATGCATGCATGCATGCAGCATGCATGCATGTAAACCTTACTCCCTCTATATACACACCAAGAATCAACAGCAAAAACACAAGACAGATTAGGGTTTAGGGTTTAGGGTTTAGGATACCTATGGGGAATTCTTGGCCATGTCTTTGTTCGTAAGAAGTGACGAGGGTTTTGGGCATTTGTTTGTTAGGAAGAAGAGGGGCTCCTTCTCCTGCAGCAAAAGCAGCAGCAGCAGCAGCAGCAGCAGCAGCAGCAGCAGCAGCAGAGGGTAGGCAGCAGACAAGGAAGAGAAGGCAACAGAAGATTGTACTCGCTGCTAGGGTTTAGGGTTTAGGGTTTAGGGTTTAGAGATCACAGAGAGATAAAACCACAACAAAGGAGATAAATGAATAAGTAACAAGGAAGAGAGAAGAAAGGAGACAAAAAAGGAGACAATATAAATATAAATAAAAGGAGACAATATAAATAAAAGAAGACAATAAAGGAGACAAAATAAATAAAAAAAAAATATACCTATATACTGTAGACCTTGAGAAGATAACCAAGAAGAAATGTCTCCTTCCCATACAGCATCTACATACACATACACACAACTACCTGCTGCTGCTGCTGTTGCTGTTGCTGCTGTTGCTGCTGCTGCTGCTGCTGCTGCTGCTGTTGCTGCTGCTGCTGCTGTTGCTGCTGAGGCTGCTGTTCTATGGCTAAACCCTAAACCCTAAACCCTAAACCCTACCTGAGTCGTATTGCTCTCCCAGTAGATCCAAACAGAAATGGCGACTGCCTGGTCTTCTACAGACTACACACCTCGCCATCCTGCAGCACAAACCCTCCTAAACCCTAAACCCTAAACCCTAGCATACAAGAAACGCAAGTGTATTAGACAGGGTAGACAGGAACCCTCTTAACCACAGCGAAAACCCTTAAGTCTGCCCCCCTTATTGTCTTTGGGTTGTCTAGGGTTTAGGGTTTAGGGTTTAGGCAGCAGCAAACCCTCACCCGCCCTGCAGCACAGGGACCTCAGAGAGGCGACACTCTGCGTAACTCTTTAGAGCTTCGCGCAGCTCAGGGGGGAATGCATGCGTCTCCATCTGCAGCAAACAGCAGCAGCAGCAGCAACAGCAACCAACAGCAGCAGCAGCAAATAAACAGCAGTAAGAAAAGGGCAGCAACGGCAGCAGCACGGGCAAAGAGCACAAACAACAGCAACAACAGGAGCGGCGGGACAAGGGGTCTGCTGATTAGTAAACCCTAAACCCTAGTTTGCTTACCGCGTTGCGCTTTGCCAGCGTCAGACCCTCAACCCTCTCCGCTGCCTGCAGCGCCAACAGCAGCAGCAGCACCAGAGGAACAGCAATTAACTTTAAAGAAAAAGAGTTTAGGGTTTAGGGTTTAGGGTTCACAAGACAACGAGCCTCACCGCCACAAGCTTAGGAATATCCAACTCATTCAGTGCTGCAGCACAACACGCACACTGCTGTTGCTGCAGTTGCTGCTGCTGCTGTTCCTGCTGCTGTGATAGCTCTCTGATGCTGTTGCTGTTGTGGCTGCAACTGTGAGTACTGATGCAGCTGTTGCTTCCACTGCTGCTGCTGCTGCTGCTGCTGCAGCAGCAGCAGCAGGAAGCAGAGGTGACGCACCATCAGAAGAAGGGAAGGATTCCCCTAGAGATAATTTTTTAATGGCTAAGTTTGGACTAAATAAACTAAGAGAAAGACCAAAGATATACAATTCAAAACACTCCTTTAGGCTTAATGTTTGCTGCACACAACAAACCCTAAACCCTAAACCCTAAACCCTAAACCCTCGGCCTCCATTTAAGACCACCATAAACCCTAAACCCTAAACCCTAAACGCAAGTAGATACACTTCGAGAAGGGAAACAAATCATTCCCTATACAGGCTCAGCACCAGGACTATCACTGCACCCACTATATACACCTTTAAACCCTAAACCCTAAACCCTAAACCCTGTGCCCTCACGTCTACATGGGCTGCTCGCCCGTCGTTCTCCATAAGCTGGTGGTGGAAGCGCAAAGCCTCGAGCGCTTCATCAGCGGATGACTCGCTGCTGTCTGATTCAAGCGCCTCTTCTGCTCACAAACCCTAAACCCTAAACCCTAAACCCTAATCGCTCTATCTCAGCCCTATTTTTCAGCAACAACCGTTTCGCCTTTGGCCTTTTTTGTGCTTATTAGTGTCACGCAGGACCCCAAACCCTAAACCCTAAACCCTATACCCTCGTTTAGGGTTTGCGATACGTTCCCTTACCAGATCCACTAGCTGCTTCTGATTCTTCTTCTTGGCTGTCTGCTATAAAACTGCCTGCGCTCTCCTCTGAGTCATAAGCCGCCTCTCGTAGATCTCGAGAAAAGGAGAAAAACTACACGCATACACAAACCCTAAACCCTAAACCCTAAACCCCAAACCCTAAACCCTCACAGGATGCAGTATGCCACTGTTCAAACCTGTCTTGCCAGCTCCAACGGCAGAAAACAGCAACAGTACATGGTGGCCAGCAGAAGCAACAGGAATAACAGCAGCAGCAGCAGCAGCAGGCACAACAGCAGCAGTGAGTGCAGCAGCATGGGCCAGCACCCACCCTTGATGCATTTCCGCCTCTTAGAGTCTTCCTGTGTCCTGCTGTTGTTTTTGAATCTCGACGTTTGTTGATTTTGCTGCTTTTGCTGCTGTTACTGCTGCTGCTGCTTGTGCTGCTGCTGCTGCTGCTGCTGCTGCTGCTGCCTTCATCCTCAGTTAGGGCCCCCTCAGAGGAAAGGAGGCCCCCAGAGCGGCGATGCTTCTCTCTTAGTGTATTTGCTAGCTTCTGCAGCCGATGCTGCACCACCTTCTGTGAGGGCCGGGAGTCTGCATCAGTTTCCTGCTGCTGCTGTTGCTGCTGCTGTTGCTGGTCTTTATGCTGCTCCTGCTGCTCCACTTCGTCCAGCAGCTGCTGCGATCTACGCAGACGACGGTGAACAGGGATTGGGGAGGACGATCTGCTGAGGTCTCCTGTTGCTGCTGCAGTTGTTGCGCTGCCGCTGTTGCTGTTGTTGTTGCTGCTGCTGCTATCCGCACCTGCACCAGGAGGCTGAGAGGAAGCCCTTAAGGGGCTCAAAGCCGCCTTCTCCTTATCTCCTTCCTGTTCTCGATTGTTGCTGTTGTTGCTGCTGCTGCTGCTGCTGTCGTTTGCTGCTACTGCTGCTGGTGCATTGCCATCTTCGCTGCTGCTGCCGCTGCCGTCCACGCGCAGTCGTCGGCGGCGTCGTCTTGACCTCGGTAAGGAATTGTCTGTCTCTGCAGGAGCAGCAGCTGCTGCTGCTTCAGCTGGTGACGCTGTTGCAGGTGCAACGGCTGGTGCTGCAGGAGATTCTGCTGCTGCTGTTGCTGCTGCTACTGGAGATTCTGCTGCTGCAGAGTCCTTCAAGGCGCTCCGCCTCAGCCTTTTTCTTTGGACGCGACGCGAAGAACTCAAACTGCTGCAGGGGCTATATCCCGCAGCAGCAGCACCAGGGGGAGCAGCAGCAGCAGCAGAAGGGCATGCTGAGGAATTAGACAACCCAGGCGCAGCAGCAGCACTTCTTGCATATCTTTGGGGGGTCTTAAGGGTTTCTGCTGCAGGTGAACCTACACCTGGAGTTCCGAGGGCCGCCAGACGAGCTGAGCGACGTCTCCCAGGTGTAGAAGGGCCCACACCAGTGTGTGCTGCTGCTGCTGCTGTTGCTGCTGTTGCTGCTGTTGTTGCTGCTGCTAGGTCAGAGAAACGTTTAACAGGAGAAGAGACCCCACGCAGTCCGTCTGCATCATCATCTGAATCAATTAAAGGAACTGAACGTCTACTGCGGCGTACAGAAGGCCAGTCGGGAAGCGCCTTCTGCTGCTCCTGTTGCTGTTGCTGTTGCTGTTGTTGTTGTTGCTGCTGCGGCGGCGGCTGCAGCAGCTGCTGCTGCTTCAGGGGATTAATAGCTTTTACTTCATCTTCGGAGTCGGTGAGGAGGATCGTCAGTTCTGTTTCGGCCTTCTCCATGGCACCGCTGCATGCTGCTCTCTTTTGTACTGTTGCCGTTTGTGTTGCTGCTGTCTTCTATAAGGAGGAAGCACTGCAGCAGCAGCAGAAGCTTTTGCTGGCCATATAGGGAGTTAATGCTGAAGCACTGAAGCTGAAGCAGCAGCGGTTTCGGTGTAACAGCAACAGCAGCCGCAACAGCTGGTGAAGCTGTTGTTGCCGCTGCTGGTGCCGGTGTGCTGCTGCTGCTGCTGCTGCTGCTGCTGTTGTGTTGGCCTTGAAATAGGTCTGCTGAGGCTTATCAATTAAGAGAGCCTTCTGTTGCCTCTTTGCTGCCGTTAAAGTGTGTGTGTCTGTTGGTGTTTGACAGCAATGGGGGGCCCCCCGTCTGCATGCACGCGATTGAAGAGGCGTATGACTGTAGAAAATGGGGAAACGATGGTAATAAAGAAGTCTTTTTACATCAGAAAAACAAAACAATGAATCAAATTCAATTAAATGGAGATTTTGTTGCAATATAACGGTACACAACACTTCCTTCTCTCCCCTTGCGCTTGGCGGCCTCGAGAGGGAACCAGACCGCTGCTAGTTATAGAATAAAACAGTTTATTTATTGGAACAAAACAAAATAAACATAAAACAAAACTTATTTTATGTATTTTTACATGCTTTTAATGACCCAGACACCTCAAGTTAGTAGTTACCTCCGCCTGTCCGTATTCAGTAGACATAGGTGGATCTGCACATTTACATACAGAAACCTACAACACACACTATCAAAAAAGGTACTTCTTCTTAAGAATATATAAATTAAATTAAATATAAATAGATAAATTAATAAAATTACTCCTTTAGCTCTGTTTAAGAGGAAACAATGCCTGTTCTTGCCGTACAAGCGATCGTTTTTCTTGTTCTGCAACTCGAGCCATTCAGCTTTCCTTGTAATTATTTTTGCATTTTCTTTTCTTTTGAATGCAAATAAAGGCCAATAAAGATATTTTTAAAAGAATAAAAGGAAAAAAGAGTTGTTTTCATCCTAAAGGATTCAATTATTAGGTGTTTAATTAGCTTTTGCCGTTAATTTGTGCTTTCCTGGAAAAGAAGAATCTGCAAAAAATTGTAAATAAAAATGTTAGAAGAACACACATTGACTGCAGCATTCTTTTAATTGTTTATGACAAACACAAAATACTTTTATGCATTTTTATTTTATTTTTACTGTTTGTTTCTTGTTGATTAGACTTACATTGTTTTTATTAACATTCTTTTCTCGTATTCTCCATGTTCAATTCTTAGAAGAATCTGTAAGTTCTTTCATATATTCAAGATCCAATGGTTAGGTATAGAGCTAATAATGCATTTAATAGTAATACCAATAGAAGGAATTAAATTAATATTCAAGGAAAAGAAAGCAATTCATCTGCAAAAAAGGAAAAGACAAGAGAAATAAAAGACGCCACCCTTCCCATTTAGCGAGTATTTTGCTGTTTTTTCACATTTTATTTTTATACACAAATAAATAAATAGACGTGCAAGCTTGAAAACACAATTATGAAGACTTTTATAGCAAAATGTGCTCTTCTTAGTCACCGTCTTGTTTCCGCTTGGACCTGCCTATACACCGCAAACTTGAACGATTGCAGGAAAGCACAAACGACATTGTATCCACCCACTTAAATTCTTCATTTTCTTCCTTAAAATAAAATTACATTTTAATTTATTAAATTGTTAATATACCTTTTACAAGTATATAAATTGCATAAATAAAAAGGAAGCAACAGAAATGCAGCAGCAGCTAATGCTTCCTTTATTTTTCTTCATCTTTCTTCTTTCCCGTTCCCCCGTAGAAGCAACAAAAGAAAAGTTTTTAGGTAAAATTCTTTATAATATTCTTTTAATTAATGTTCTGCAAAAGTAATAAAAAAATAATTATTTAGGCCAATTAGCTGGCGCTGTAATTGGAGGAGCAGCACAAGCTATGCTAGGGATGCCTCCTGGTGAATAAAGGATATTTATATACATATTTATGCTGCGTTTTCTCCTTTTCCTTCCCTTCTTTCTCCTTATTTTTTTCCTTCTTTATACGCCTATTGTTTCTTTTATTTCCTTCTCTTTCTTTCTTTTATAATAAATAATGACTACGTACCTTAGCACAAGGAACGGCGCCTGCTCCTCCTACACCTGAGGAAGTTGCAGCAGAGAAGGTAAAAAGGACTAATTATTTGTATTTATTTACTTTTATTTATTTAAATATTATATTTTATTTATAAATAAAATCAAAAACAAAACAAACAAATTATGCATAAAATAAAAATAAAATATAATTTGTGTTTCCTTTTTCTTTATTAAAGGCATTGGCTCGTGCTCGCGATACAAGCGAAGCAGCAGAAGGTAAACAACAGCAATAAACAGCAGCAGCAAACAGCAGAAGCAGCAAACAGCAGCAGCAACAAGCAGCAGCAAAATTATTTTCTTTTTCTTGTCTATTTATTGTTGTGTTTGTATACAGGAGCAAAAGAGACAGTAAAGACATTAAAGGAGTAAGACAATCTTGCTGTATCTGCCCAGTAGCAGCAGCAGCAGCAGCAGCATTAGCATTATTAGCAGCAGCAGCAACAACAACAGCAAATAATAAATATAATATATTATATTATTGTAGTACTTATGGAGAGATGGAGACAGATTTAGCTATACC